AACAAGTATTGATGTCACATATTGACAATTAAAATGACAAAATATAAAATAAATTGGTTAGTTCTTTATGAAATAAAATAAAATAATAATGACAAAATTCTAGTAGACAAACAATCTAGCCCGATGGAAGATGTTGTCGCTTGAATTACCTACTTTTAACCCTTCTAATGGTTAACGTAAAATGTCGAAGGATCTTAACAGCACTCCATCTGAAGAATATACATTGACTTCGAGGGGTTATGCATTAATTAAGAAACTGGGAGAAGGATCGTACGCCAAAGTGTACTTATCGGAATTTTCTAAAGGCAAAGATAAGAAATCAACTCAACTAGCATGTAAAATAATCGATACTGCGAAGGCACCGAAAGATTTCGTGAGGAAATTTTTACCGAGAGAACTGGAAATTTTAATTAAACTGAATCATCCGCACATCATTCATGTACATAGCATTTTTCAGAGAAAAACTAAATATTTTATTTTCATGAGATATGCCGAAAATGGCGATTTGTTGGAATATATATTGAAAAAAGGCGTCATTCCAGAAGGACAAGCCAGAGTGTGGCTTCGTCAGATAGCATTAGCTCTTCAATATTTACACGAAATGGAAATCGCCCATCGGGATTTAAAATGTGAAAACGCGTTGATTACATCTAATTACAACATCAAACTCGCGGACTTTGGTTTTGCGCGATACGTTATAGATAACCATGGAAAAAAGATAACAAGCGATACTTATTGTGGTTCCTTGTCGTACGCAGCTCCCGAGGTCCTACGAGGAATGCCATATCATCCAAAAATAGCTGATCTGTGGTCTGTCGGAGTAATATTGTATATTATGTTAAATAAAGCCATGCCTTTCGATGACAATAACATAAAGAGATTATACGAACAACAAATAAGCCGTCGGTGGAGATTTAGAGCGAAAGTGGCGGATTCATTAAGTGAACAAGTGAAAAAGTTGACAGCCAATCTCTTGGAACCCGACACCACAAAGCGATTCGTTGTTAATCAAATTTTAACGTCTGATTGGCTGGGGATGGATCCTCGATTGCTGGTTTTGAACGGAGCCGAGCAAGCGGCTCTACAAAGTGCCCAGGAAGAACGGAAAAAAATTGTCGACGGGAAAAAGAATGAGAAAAAGTTTGAAGGCAGGGAAGAGGACCTGCTTGTATTTAAAGAGACGAGCTCCGATAGAAAACCAAGTACTGCCGAAATGATGGAAACCGCCTCAAAACTGTAAACCATGTGAAGTACTTTCGCGAAGTAAAATGTACATGTTGACAATAATGAAATATACCAAAATATATTTAGTTTACAGAAAGATCGATAAAGGTTACTTTTAGTCATTCATTCTTAGTTTTTATTATTTAATACGATTTGCGAAATTCTCTTCTCCGAAGATTTAATCAGGTATACGACGTGTGAGCAGTGCGAACAGTCGTCCCGCACTCCATCTTAATGAACGTAGAATGTCGAGACCGTTAATTTGATACTTACAATTAGTGCATGTACCTACGGCCTACGCAAACACTACTTCCGAATTGCAAATGAGTAGGTATACACAGATCGATAGAAGAAACAAAAAAGCATTTTTTTTTTTATTTCTTAAGAGGGAAAGTAACCAAGCAACTATCGATTTTACTAACTAATTCTACAGTAGCATTAACGGCCAGTTAGTCGTATCTGCAATGGATGAGATAGATAAAATAATTTTTTCGTATTACGCCAAAGACGAGGTATGCAGTAAAATAAATGTATTACAATTGTAATGAACAGTAAATCTTGATAGTAGTTAAATTGTTTGTATTTAAACTATTTAACAAGTCATTTAATGGCAATGTTGCAATAATGTATTATCAAATGTTTTGTCGAAACTTTCTAATACAAAATTCTACACTTATATTCTTTTGCTTTAAAGGAAACTGTCCAAAAGGAATCTGAATACATTATAAAATCATTGAGAAGATTTTCTTATTTTTCGGACTGGGGTGACGATGTATTACAAGAATTTTGTGTCTACACCAGCCTTGCAACCTTCGAACCTGGACAAATCATAATAGGGAGCGACCAAAAATCTGCAGATTACGCATTTTTTGTTCTTAAGGGTTCATGCCAAGTAATCGTTTGTTTACCAGTGGTTATTACGAAAGAACTAGGGGTTAAACGTTACCGTTTATTTAAACCTGAAAATGTTCATGAGGAAACCACTGCGATAACTAATACCGAAACTAAAGAAGAAGAAAATGAAACTATTACAAGAAATGAACTTCATAAAAATGATGAGAGTGTACCTGTTTCCGTAGAGAACAATAACGATGAAAAGTGAGTATGGTAATGCAAGAAATTGCCCTTTTATTTATAAGAAACGTTTACTAAATGTGACTTTATGACTTTTCTCGGATAATGAATAAAAGTAGTGCCGAAAATCGAAAACTACTTAAACATCAGGAAAAGTGGTCTTGTATCTACATATTTCAGATTAACCGATAAAGAATAATAGCTAATTAAATTTTCACAGTAAGAAGTTTACTTTATATGGTAATACTGCACCAAACATTTTTCTATGAACGATAAATAAAATACACAATTAAATCAGAAATAAAACTCTCTATCAATTTCTAAGTTTATTCATAAACATTTGGCATATGTTTTACCACCTTACGACTTCTTCAGAAGTTAGAATTGAACAAGTATTGAAGATGATAACTTTTTGGTATTTAATGAGACAACTTGAATATTGAGCTTTTTGAAAATGTGTGTAGCTTCTCTGTTAATTTTTAGTAACAATAAGTATTAATAAAGTTAAAAACAAAAAAACTGTTTCAGTTTGGTGGTGATGTTATTGAAAAGAAGAGTTCTTGTTTTTCTATGATTTCTTTTAGATTATACATTTGATACTAATGAGCGTTTATACCTATTGTTAATAGCAATTTGTTTTATAACACTGAGCTCCTTTTCAAAATTGCCTTTCGTAATTTTTACAATTTAATTTATAATACTTATCAACTAAAATACCTAGTATATTTATTTCTGCTGGGATTTTACTTTTAGAAATTTGGGTCCAAATTGAAATTTTTACTATTTTCGCTTACGAAGCAACGGGCTAGTGTGATGAATTGTAAATATCGTTTTAATATTTGGACAAATTTTCCCATTTTCATTTTCTCCATATGTTGAGTAGTCTTTGCAATGATATGAATAGCTGGTATAATTGTACTTGTAGTATTAGTAGGTTATCTATAAATATTGAATTTTATTTTCTCATCAAAACGTATCATGATTAGATAGAGAAAAGTTGATGTACCTTTCGACTCAACTTCTTTAGTGAATTGCAATTTGCTGCTATTGTAACTGTTAAATCATTCAGAAAATTATATGTCTATTGGTTCATGATATTTATGTCAAGTGTATGTATATACTTCAATAAATGCGGAAACTGAAGTGAGTTTTATTTCTGATTTATAAAGAATTTTAATACTAATGTGAAAGCGGACAATTGAATATATAAAATTACCTTTATAATTACAAAACAGCAGGGCTTGGAGTCCATATTCTAACACATTCACATGTCTGAAAAAGAAAAAAAAATTAACAATACTGAATATAGGTACCCTAAATATATATTTCCTTAAATAAAATATACATGCATTAATACATTCATCATCATCATCATAAGGTCATCAGTTCTAAGACTGGTTGGACACGCACCTCCACTCTTTTCTATCCTGAGCCAATATTCGCATTTCCCTAAAATTAGAAGAACCTTAACTATTTGCGAACAGTAATCTAACCTAGGTCTACCTCTACCCCTCCTAACTCCTGTTTCTGCCTCTAATATGTCTCTGACTAGACCTTCATGCTTGAGAAGGTGTCCTACCAACCTGTCTCTTATTAACTTTCGTAGAGTCCTCTGTTCTCCTATTCTTTCTAATAGCTTTTGATTTCTAACCTTCTCTATCCACGGCATCCTCATTATTCGCCGATAACACCACTTTTCACTCCAATCATACACCTTTAACAATCTTCAATCCTTATTCGAATTTCTAAATTAATCGTTCGCGAACAGAGAAGTGACTTCTTTTTATTGAAGGCGACTCGATCCTGCACTATTTTCTGCTTTATATCCCTACTACTCCTTCCGTCCTGACTTATCTGACTTCCTAGGTATCTAAAATCAGCCACTTCTTCTAATTTTTCGTCTCCTATCTTTATATTCGCTCTTTCCCTACTTTTTCTTCCCTTGCATATCAGTATTTTAGTTTTACTTTTATTTATTTTCATACAG